AGGTGCAGCAAATAGGGCAGCAGCAGCAGCACCTGCGCAGCAGCCAGTCTTTGTCACTCCACCAGCTAGCAGCAGCAGTGAGTCGTCCTCCCAAAGGGAGGCCGAACAAGGGGCTGAAGCAGCAGCAGCAGCAGCAGCTGCTGCTGCTGCTGCTGCTGCTGCTTCAGCCCCTTGTTCGGCCTCCCTTTGGGAGGACGACTCACTGCTGCTGCTAGCTGGTGGAGTGACAAAGACTGGCTGCTGCGCAGGTGCTGTTGCTGCTGCCCTATTTGCTGCACCTGTTGCTGCTGTTGCTGCTGCTGTTGCTGCTGCTGCTCTGGAGCCTTGCTGCTGTCCGTATACCCCAAAACGGCCCACCGGCTTGCTCTTGCCAAAGACACTCTGCATGATTTTGGCCAGTTTAGGATTTTGGGCTTTGAGTGCTGCTTTTTGCTGCTGCTGCTGCAGCAGCTGTTGCTGTTGCTGCTGCTGTTGCTGCTGCTCCTGCTGCTGCTGCTGCTGTGCAGGGTCACTGAAAAGCGGCTCGGCGCCGTTGCTGCGCCGCCCTGGGCGGAGGGGCTGCGGGGGCTGGGAGGGGTCTGCTGCTGCAGCAGCATTGCCTGCTGCTGCTGCTGCAGCAGCAGCTGCTGCTGCTGCTGCTGCGTCGTGCCTCACTTCTGCGTGGGTAAGGTCGTTCAAAGCTGCTAGCAACAGCTGCTGCTTCCGCATTCTTGCTGCTGCATCATGCAGCAGCACAGCGCGCAAGAAAGGAGGAGCTTCTTCATCAAATAGTGCTGCTGCTTTGCTGCTCTGCTGCAGCAGCACAGTTCGTGCTGCTGCTGCTGCACTTGCTGCGGCTGCAGAGGTCTTCGTGCCGTAGTCCTCATCGCCTGCTGCTGCTGCTGCTGCTGCTTCCCCACCTGCTGCTGCTGCAGGAGCAGCAGCATTTCCCTTCAAGTAGTCTGCATCATCGAGTAAATCGTTGTCTTCTGCTGCTGCTGCATCTGCTGCTGCTCCTGCTGCTGCAGTGCTTGGGCGGCCCCACAGGAACTCCTCAATGTCAGACACCTGAGAGACACAAAGCAGCAGCAAACAGCATTTTATTTATTTATTTATTTATTTATTTATTACTTATTATTTATCATCTATTATTTATGTGTTTATTTATTTATTTATTTATTATTGCTTGATTGAATATGTAAATTTATTATTGTTTATTTGTTATTTATTTTGCTGCAGTGCTTTACGCAGCATTTTGCTGCCTTTCTTAAAATTTATTTCTGAAGGCAATTTACGTTTATTTTTAATTATTTATTTTTTATTGAATTATTGATTTGATTCATTTTTTATTTTCAATTAGTTATTTATATATTTTAATTTATTTATAAACTTTCATTTTTATTCTTATTTCAATTTAAAATCCCACCTCCGAATGATCCTTTCGCAAGAAGTCTTCATCTGTTTCGGAGTTGCCGCTGCTGCTGCTGCTGCTGCTGCTGCTGCTGCGGCGGCTGCTGCTGCTGCTGCGGCTTCTGCTGCGGCTGCCTCTGTGGCTGCCAGCACCTGCAGGGCTGCTGCTGTCCGTTTGGTTCTGCTGTTTTCTCCTGCTGCTGCTGCTACTACTGCGGCTGCTGCTGCTGCTGCTGTCGCTGTCGCTGCTGCTGCTGCTGCTGCTGCGGCGACGCCCCGGGTCGCTGGGGCCCTCATATTTGTCGTTGCTGCTGTCGCTGTCCATTGTGCCTCTTGCTGTTGCTGCTGCTGCTGCAGCAACGCTGCAATTTGCTGCGCTGCTGACTCGGATCCTGGCAGCAGCGGCAGCTGCTGCTGCTGCTGCAGCAGCTGCCGCTGCCGCTGGTCCTTTGCTGCTGCAAAATTTGCTGTTTGCTTATCTCTCCCCTTTAGCAGGCTGTAGCGCTGCTGCTTCCCGGCGGTTGCTGCTGCTGCTGCTGCTGTTGCTGCTGTTGCTACTGTTGCTGCTGCTGCTGCTGCTGCTGCCGCTCTTGTGTTGCTGTGTAGATTCCTACTTTGAGTTGCTGAGGAGCTGCTGCTGCTGCTCTAGGCCCCAGATGCCATGTTGAAGTTTCGAGGGGGCTGGATATGAATCTGTAAACCCTAAACCCTAAAACGTAAACCCTAAACCCTAAACCCTAAACCCTAGCTTCCAGGGGTCTTCTGGAGGGTTTTTGGATAAAAAAAAATAAATAAATAAAAAGGAAAACAGAATAAAAGCCCCTTTGCATCGGGGTGTACAGACACCTGCAGTGACCCCTCACCAGCCCCGACCCCCAAGAACAACAACCCCACCGCAGCAGCAGCAGTTGAGGAGAAAAAAGCGAACTAAATTAAATAAAAGAATTAATTTTAATTTTTAAATAAATAAATAAATAAATAAATTCAAAAATTAACTCAATGCGAGTTTTGGAGAGCCCCCTGTGTACAGACACCGAACGATCTGCTCGCCTGCGACTCCGGGCCCCACACCACACCCTAAACCCTAAACCCTAAACCCTAAACCCTAAACCCTAAACCCTAGGCCCTAAACTGTAAACCTTCAAATAGAGAGTACTTCTTCATTCAGGCTAGGGACTGGCGCCTACAGCCAGCCTCTTTCGATTAAGACTTTAGGGTTTGAGGGTTTGGCCTTTAGGCCTCTAGGGTTTAGGGTTTGTGTCTGGCCTACAGCCAAACGCCCAGGACTTAGGGTTTAGGGTTTAGGGTTTAGGGTTTAGAGCTACTTGCTGTTGATTAGTCAGGGGGCCCTCAGCAGCATTTTAGGGGCCCCTCAAGGCGGTAGCCACAGGGGCAGCTTGCTGCAGCTAGCTGTGGCTAGCTGCCCGGCCAAACTGCCTGAGGGTTCGTGGTCTAGGGTTTATGGTTTAGGGTTTAGGGTTTAGGGTCTGAGATTTGACAGGGATAGTGCCGGCAAGCAGAAGCTCGTGGTCAGCGCTAATCTCTAAACCCTACACCGTGCGTTTGCCTCTCTGCGTAGGGTTTAGCGCTTAGGATTTAGGGCTTAGGGTTTAGGGTTTAGGGTTTAGGGTTTAGGGTTTAGGGTTTAGGGTTTTGAGCTGGCGTGCTACCTCCTCGACGGACTGGCTACAAGAAACGGCAAGAAGAAAATTGTCGCAAAGGGCGCAACACTAGCACTAGCAGCAACAGTAGCAGCAGCAACAGCAGCAACAGCAGCAGCAACAGCAGCAACAGAAGCAACAGCAGCAACAGCAACAGCAGCAGCAGGCAGCTCTACCGCGTTTCGCGTATTTTTTCTGTGGGCGTGTTCCTCCAGTGATGCAGAACGTAGCACTGAAATAAATAATTCTATTAACTAAACAAATAATAAAAACAAATAAACAAATAAATGAATAAATAAACAAACAAACAAATAAGTAAATAAATAAATAAATAAATAAATATTTATTTGTTTGTTTAACGCGTGTATACGTGCACGTGCATATACGGTGTACGTACACTCCAGAATGCGTTTAGGATTGAAATTTGGAAAAAGCTGAAAAATGAAATTAAATTCTCTTTTAATGCAACAAAAGCTGCTTCAAATTGTGAAATACGAAACAATAAATAATAATGTTCTTTTGTCTTTAAAAGAAAACGCATGCAGAGGCAAAAAGTGAAAAAAATAAAAAAAGAGTCAAAGGCCCCGCGGGCGCCGCGCTGGGGTGTACGTACACCTGAGCGGTGCAGCGCAGCTGGGGTGTACAGACACCGCGCAAGTACCAAAGTGAAGGAAATGGACGAACAAATAAAACTAGAAATATAATTATAAATGAACAAATGAAAGTTTCCCAAATTGCAAATGAAATACTACCTATCCACCTCTACTATCTTTGCTGTTGAGGTGCAGCTGGTCCCGTACAAATGCGGAAAAGTTGTGCGCCAGTACGGAGGCGGAGGCCTCCTGCCTATGCCGCTGCTGCTGCTGCTGCTGCTGCTGCTGCTGCTGTTGCTGCTGCTGCTGTTGCTGCTGCTGCTGCTGCTGCTGCTGCTGCTGTTCGTTTCTGGGTCCGTGTCGCTGTCAATGTCTGTGTCTGCGTTCGCGTTGGTAGCGGCTTCTTGAGCTGCTGCTGCTGCAGCTGCTGCATCTGGTGACTGCGGCG